GCAGGAACAAAGAAACTTCCGAAAGTTTTCTGGTGCAAATGCTCGCTTTGTTCGCAAGGGCTTGTCTATGTCAAGCTGAACTTGCCATGTGTAGCAGGATTGGTCACTGTCCCACGGCCACTTAGGGCACAATTCTCTTGGCGTGCAGGTGTCGACGGTTTTTTACAGATTCGATTCAGTTTTGCTAACCAGAGTTACTACCAGAGTTGCCGACCCAAAATATATAATTTGTTCAAATCAAGATCAACTTTGATCGACTTAGACTTGGCCAATTCACGGATATGCTCTTTGGCCCGTTGGTCTGCCAAGCGATTGAGTATCATGTCCTGCATTGTCGAACCAGCTTTCACAGCCAGCTCATCGGTAAGGTCAGAAATATAAACATGTTCCAAAAGGTGAGCAGGGCACCACAGGACTCTCAAAGGTGCCTCATGGAAGGCATGACGCTGCTGCACAAGTGTCAACAGGAAACCCCACCAATTGGCGTTGGTCCATTCCATATTTACCACGTTGTTTTCAAGCAGTTGAGCAAATTGTTGAAATTATCAAAGGGGACCCTTATTAAAGGGGCCCATGGGGCTCAAAGACATTCTTGTTGCTTTGTATTTGTTGCAAGTTTCATCCCTTTCTATATACCTTATAATGGTATTGTCGGGAAGTGCTGCAATTTTCCCTGAGCTTCCCGGACTTGCCCTCGCAAAGCACTGTAAGCTTCTGGTCCTGGACAAAAGTGAACATGTTCTGCGGATTCAACATTCTGTTGTTTTGTTTTTATTACTAAATTGCCATAAAACATTAGCAAACCATGCTTAAACAATGTTTCTGGCTCCAGCGTGTTGGCAAGGCACAAAAGACCTAAGAACCAGGAACGCTCTCTTTGCTCATGTATATATATATATATATTTGGCATTTCTAGCGCCTGCGTGTATCTGCAGAAGTCTCTAATGGACTTGCGGTTTCCCTCAAACTTGACATTCACTGACATTCATAATGTCACCGTAGTACCCGCAGCTGTCGCGTTTGTGGGGGTGAAGCATCTGATAGTCATGTGGCAAGTGTCATTGGGTTAGAGCGATTATTATACTCCAATGCCACATTGCATGTGGTCCAAAATAAACTTGGTCATTTAATTGTTAAAACAGCACAGGGTAGTGTGGACCTATTGCGATCAATTCCATATCTGTCAAGTAGGCTAGAACTCCGGCAAATATCCTTCAAAGCTTGCATTCGCGATTGCATAACCATTGCACACACGAATGTCAATCACAAAGCAGCACAGTTGACTTTATGGGATCAGCTTCTGGTGGCTGCTGCACGCTTAAGGATGAAGGAATACCCCTTGCAAGCATGCGCACGATACTTGAACGCTTGAGCTGGCCGCAAACTATAGACTGGGGTGTTGCATCTCTGGAAGAAATTGCCCGTTTTGACTTGGGCTATTTGCTCAAGTGACTTTAATTATATACTTGCTTGACTTGCTTGGATCCAACGCTTGCTCAAATGTAAAACGCATGTGATGGCCTAATATTCCTTTGCAAAAGATAGATGTGTGTTTTTCTCATACGGTCTGACTTAGAACAATTTCTTGCGACTTCAGATCTGTCAACTCTCAGAGTTCAAAACTGGACTCCTGCTCTGCTGGCTCGACAAAGCTGGAGCTCAAACCCGGCCCCATGCCCTCAAGTTTCAGAACTATTTCTTTTATTGAGACAAAGCTGGCAGGCTGGCAAGGACCCCTTGATGTAGCATCTCCCTTCTTTGCAAATATGAAGAAGAAACACTGAATCTCTATGCGAGATTTGACATCAAGGACTATACCCAAACATTGTACCAAAAAAGGCTTGATTGCTTAGAGCATTGCATATGTTGCACATACTGTTGCGCACACATGTATATATATATATTTGCCGGCTGTTAGGTTTCTGTTTTTTCAACTATATCTATTCATTATTTTTTCGCTTATCTTTTTACTTTATATATGCCCTCCAGTGACTCCAGTGCTCTAAGGTGATCGCAAGCTCCAGGATGTCGGCCAGCTCGAAACCACGCCACAGGTCTGATCAGGGAAGTTCATATTTTCGGAAACAAGCAAAAGATTGCAAAAAAACAAGAGAAAGATGACAGGGAAACAAAGACTGAGGTACTGTTTTGTGCTCCCACAACTTGTCATTTCTACTTGAAAGAGCGGTTCCAAGTTCCCAATATGTTCGCCGCAAGTCTGCATTCCCTGTCACAGTTTGGCGCTCTTCCTCAGGCTTTACTTTCAATTCAGAAGTTGAGCTGCTTTTTGGCTTTGACTTACAGCGGTTTCTCCAACAGCTTGTTCGCTGGTTTTCCAAACAAGACATCTATAAAACGTGCTTCGCAGCTCTTGCGCCAGTGGTCCGGAACAGTTTTTAAGACATCTGTAGATAAACATTTGAAAGATCGTTTAATACCTGCTTGGGCTCACGTCACGCAGCTTACTGTGAGAAACGACTTGAAGGGAATAACATGTGAACACAATTACAAGTAGCACTATGCCAAGCATATGAAGGGACTCTCAACTCTCTGGTTTCTGTCACCCAATGACCTGACGATGTGAACACTACCGAGGGCCTGAACGCTTGGGGAGCTCCTTCTGGGTGCCAAGCTTCCACCAAGCATGGTCCTCACGAAGTGCCCCACTTGTCAACAACACAAACAAAGCGCGTTTGATTCCTTTCAAACGTATAGGCATTTGATATCACTTGGAATGAACTTTTACGCTGGAGGGCTGAAGAACACATCTTGGTGTTGTTTTCAAAACCCGAGTAGGTGTGTCAATGGTCAACGTTTCCAAATCCAAAAAGGTCTTCACAGAACACCCTTGCTTTACAAACAAAAGCTTCTCCTGCAAGCCCTGATTCATCAAACCCATGTTGCGCTAGCAGCTAGCACTTCACTTGCCAAAAACTTGAGCCTTCAAAAACAACACAAACAAAGGTGTTGAAGTGGGTGTTCGCAAAGAAGATCCAAAACGGACATGCTTTCGAAGTTTTGACGTGTTTCTGCTCCAAATTCTTCGCCACCGTGTCGCTGTTCTCGTTCCGAGTCACATGGCTTTTCTTGGCCAAAACTTGTGTGAAACGAACGCTCGTTTCAGATCGAGCTGCTCGGTGAGACGCTTCTGGTGCCTTTTCACCAGAAACATCGGAAACTCCGAACCCTCGTGTTTGGAATTTTGCATTGACGTGTGTTGAATACGTACAGGAGGTGTTAGAAGACCCACTGCTACTAATCTGTTACTTACACTTGCCTTCTCAGTTTCAAAAGTTCACGAGCCAAACTGATAAAGGGAGACTGCGGGGGACCCTTCTCGGCAATCAGCCAAGCTCAAACAAAGAGCCTAAGCATGCGACACACACACACACACACACGGCAACAGCAAACTCGAAGGCTGCGTTTCAAGAAGAACCCTATTTAAGAAACTCTCCCTCATCTTTTCTCTTTTCCTTTTGTTTACATCCTTATCCTTTTCTTTTTCACATCTTTTGATCTCCGTTCCAGGTGTCCCTCTAAAGAATCTGCTGTCCTTCCTATCAAGACAGAACTTGGTCTTGCGACATGGCCTCTGGATACCTCTGCTTCTTGGCCCTGCTTGGTCTCTGGCTTCGCTTCATCACGCCGAAAACGTTCCCACCAGGTCCAACCAATCGTGACGGTGGCAAATCTAACGTCAGCCCTTCACAGGTTTCCAGTCCTGAGGTTTGGCGTCAATGGTTAAAGAACAAACATTAAGTTCATCAGAAATGCTGCAACAGTAAAATTTCAACGTAATGTTCATTCCGTTTCACTCTAGATATGCTCCCAGCTTTGTGCTTTCCCCAGTCACCAGTCCTTCATGTCCATGGATAAGGCAGGTTGCCCAAAGAACTCCAAGCGACGAACTCGTGTGGTTGGGGCGCCAAAGTTATCCTGACTGAACAGGACACAAGGCACTGGGCACAATGACCCCTAGCCGAGTGCCACCGACTTGGATTTTGACAAGTGGAAATGTGACACGGCAAGAAAGAGCCCAACATCAAAGACAATGGAACAATCAAGTTTCACGAATTTGCTGCAGCATCGACACTGGCTGCGGCTAAGCTTGCAATGCTGTGCGCTGGCAATATGTCGTCTCTCCTGGAAGAAGAGTTGCAGGGACGACACCTCACAACATTCTCACAACTCTCCCCACTGGCCAACACAAAATGAGACAATGCAAAGTCTAAAAATCACAATTGGTCACAAATTGCTGAGGGCAATGCATTTTGGAACTTCACAAAGCGCAGGGGCAAAGGCCTTGGGATCTTCTTTGTGATCTTGCTTGTGCTTGAAAAGAAATCTAAGGACATCTGCGCACCAAACTGTCACGACAATTGATTGAAAATTTCAACTACAGTAGTTTGTCTTGGCAGCAACAAGCAATGTGAAATAATGGGGAAGGCTGCGGGCTTGACGTGTTCATTTCACTTTGAGCTTTTGAACGTGGAGTTGTGCCAACTTTCTTGATCCTTGTGTAGGAACTAGGAACGTGGAGTCTCGCATGGAGTGTGTTCATAGAGGGTAAAGGGTTGATACCATGCGTCTGCTCCTGATCTATGCGAAACCAATCTATAAATGGAAAGATCATGGAATCTACTTGGCGATGAAAACATATGAAAACTGCTTGTCTAGGCTGAGCCATGGAGATTCTTTGTTTAAGGCTTCGAAAACACTGTCTTTGAGGCCAAGGACTCGCCATCGACATTCTCAGGCGAGAGCTGCAGCTCCTAGATCGAACAAAACACACCTGCTTCTTGCAAAATAACTTCCCACATCTCAACCGAGATACTGCAAAGGAACATACATGTGATTCTTTTGTAAGCAATTAACATCGATATACAAAATATATCTTAGCAAAACTTTGCACTGTGTGCCCGGTGCTTGCTTTAGCTTGCTTGTACTTTGTGCATCTTCCTGTAGAGCAACAGAAAGAACCGGTCGCATCCGGCGTCACTGCGTCATGAACCCCCCTGTCACAGCAACTGTGACTACAAGCCCTACTCCGAACCAATGCTCTCTTCCCTCTCCTCTTACTTATTCTCTCGAGCTGTGTAGCGCTTGAGCTGCTGAGATCAAACAGTCTGAGAAAGGCTCAGACTATATTCTTTTTGTTTTGTTGCCCAAAGCCTGGGTGCTCGGCTGAGCACGAGAAGCGCCGGCACAAGGAGTCGTCGACCGTCATCTCCGTGAAAACAGCTAAACGTCAAGCCGCCATGAAACGTTCTTTTCCTTTCCATAGTGACAGTGGAAAACAAAGTAAGGAAAATAGGCACGGTACTTCATTCATCTTCATTCTATACACATGGGTATCAACACTTCACCACCAAAAGAGACTAATTACGCAGTATATGATATTGTTAAGAATGGGCCAGGAACCGTTCAAGAAGAAAGGGTTTGGGGCAAACGGCAAAGTCAGAAAAGAAGCCAACCAGGACCAGGAAGTGAAGCCAAATTGGAAAGGGAAGGAACTAATGGAGGAACAATCAAACATATTGCCCTGCTCACTGCTCATAGCAAAAAGGAAGTTTTATATAAAGTATAAATGCTATCGCCGCAAGACCCAAGCTTTCAGTTTTCACGATCGAATTCACGCTTGAAGAGTTCTTGTGAGTTCACCATGGACTCAAAATTGTGGAGATACCTTTGCCATTGATATTCAGCCACAGGGGACAGGGGACCATGTTGTTTACACTACGTAGTCTGACTCGCGTAGCGGTGATCCTTTAACCGCAATCGAACTGTTTGAAACCCAAATCTATCCTGTCCCATCTGCCCATATCTTCAACATTGCATGAACAACGAACAACACTCACATTGCTTGAAGCACGGTGGCCGCTGCCGCTGTTCTGGCGACATCGCAATACTCAAAGATATATAGTAATTTTCTCGATTTGGGTTCACAATGATGGGATCGGCGCTAAGAAAAGGGCGCGGTTCAATTTGAGGCCAGAACAGCTCCTGTTACCCGACTTTACTTAAGCGTATGAGCAAAGGATTCAATCCCCCTATTCTTCCTTGTACGCACTACCATTCTTGCTCATTTTAAAGTGAGCTTGAAATATTCCGTGCCACATTCCACCAACCTAACCCCTGCGCAAGCAAGTCAGCGACCCTTGAACAAAAGGTGAGCCCGAACCACACACCGGGTTCAGCGTGTCTCCTCTGGTTCTGACAAAACCCTGCATGTGAGGGAGCCCTCCCTCCCTCTCTATGATAGGTGGAGGACCCCTGCGCACTCCAAATATTAAGAACAAATGTCAGCCCTTCCACCCCACAAATGCTGCCTGTCAAAATTACTACATGTGCAAGCAGAATGAGGGGAAGGCACTCTTAATATGATGGTTGGGCCTACATCAATAATATAGTTTACTTGGTTTTGATTTCTATGTCTACGTATGTAAAAACGTAGACTTTTCATGCACAGGAAATATGCAGCATATGTTGTTTGCATGTTCAACTGGAGCACATAGAACACCGGGATAAAAAACACCCACCCCCACCCACACACACAAAAAGTTATGGAGAGCGGGCAGTTGCGGCAGTGCGTTTTTTGGCGCATTTGCTACGACAAATGGATTATTGATAATACACTATATTTTATGCAGTTATACCTAATTAATTCAATTGTAACTTAATTCTAATTCAGTTGTAATTCAACTCTATATACATGGATTCTAGTTCAGTTTTCTTTCAAATTCAATACTAATATAAGTCTAGCTAGAATCTAATTCAAATCGAATTTATACAATTCCATGTCAAACCTAATTTAATTCCGTTAAAACATAATTTTTAATTCAGCTTTCCCCTAGGTTTCTGGGATTGATCACTTCTATATTAAAGCCTCATATAAACGCGTGCATTTCAAAAGCTGTCCCCTAGATCTTTGGGAATGATCATGTGTTTGAAGATTATATAGTTATATAGAAGCGGTTTATTTCATTAATTTTGTGCAATGTATATTTATGTGCAATGTCAGATATGGAGGGCGGGCTGCCACTTCAAACATAATCCCTTTTATGGCAAACATAAATACACTCCCCACGGCGGCCCGCTCTCCAGAAGGGGCCGCCATGGGGCAAAACCAAAAAACACCTTGAGAAAACACAAAAACATATATTTATGAGAGTCTTGACTGAACCCTCCCATAAAGGACAAACTTCTGAAAGCATGTCCTTTTTGGTGTTTTAGCTTTTTCTTCAAGAATTGTCTACAAAGTGCAGAATCTTCTGCAGAGTGCACTCCTGGCAGTGTAGTTTTCTTGATAAATGTTAACAGAGTGCCCTTCGCGCAGTGTAGTTTTCTTGACAAATGTTAACGAAGTGCCCTCCTGGCAGTGCAGTTTTCTTGACAAATGTTAACCGTGCTCTCCTGGCAGTGCAGTTTTCTGTGGGAGGGTTCAGTCAAGACTCTCTGAAATATGTTTGTTTTTTGATGTTTTTTTTTTTTTGGACATATTTGGTTAGGCTTTCCTGCTGGATGCAATTGTTGTGCAGCAATTTTTGGCAGTGCAGTTTTCTTGACAAGTGTTGACTCAAAAGAAACAACTTTGCGAGAAAACTTCACTGCCAGGAGTGCCCGTCATGCAAAAAGATAGCTTTAGGAAAACAAGAAGCGAGCCAGTGCAACCAGTATTTTACGTTGTTTAATTTACAATGTGGCCGGAATGAACCAGCGCTTCGCTGAGTCCTAGCAAATTGATCAATTTTACCATCAACCGATCGATCCAACATATTTTCAGGGATGGACCGCGGATGATTAACGCCAATTCATATGTTTTCTTATGGCTTCATGCATCTTCATGCTGCTATCACGGGTCTAAAACTCATGTGAACTGCCCTTTGTTTCATGTTGTTTCTCGTTTTGTTGTTATTTTTTTTTCACTTTTTCATCATAAGAAAAGGTCACTGGGTTGTTTCCGGTTTTGGTCTCCTGGACAGCTTCTTCCTCAGCATCTTCGAAACCCATGTTGACCTGACGGTGAAGAAAACCGTTTTGCAAAAATAAACATGTTTTTGAAGACAACCGTTTAGAGAAAAGTCAGTCAATCAATTTTCTATATACATATATATATATATATTGAAATATGGGGCAGCCTTGTCCAGGAAAAGCTTCACACTTTGTGGCGCTGTTTCATCCTTGACAGTCATGTCAAGTGTCTGCATGTAAACAGCGAGTGCAGCACGCACAGAACTGATCGTAACTACATCTCCATGACTGAAGAAATATGAGAAACATCAAGAAACACATGTCCTTTAGAAACATATGTTGACCTTTCCTCTTTGTCTGTTGATGTCCCATCCTCCGCCGAACCCATAATTTTCAAGCTTTGCAGCTTCACAGGCACACGGAACTGCACCTGGTAGAAAAGCGTCGGGCACATGTCTGAAAACGCTTTGCACTCATAATGGGTAGCATGAGGTTCTTTTGATCTATTTTACATCTTCCAGCATGTGCGTGTTTACATCGACAGGCACTAAACAAAGTGTTTCGGGCTCTTCTGACACAGCCTTGACCAAGAGCTGATGGTCCACGTTTTCATCCGAAGACAGGAAAGTCTCCGGCGAATCGTCCAAAACATTGGCCACTGGATTGGCCTGTATCATCGCTTCGTGAGTCGTTTCGTCTCTAGTGAGTCACAGTCGTCACCTTGTCTTCGTTGAGACATTCCAACTGCCCTTTCTCTATAAACTCGTCCAATGACGCCACCACCTCGGAGCAAAACGTGGACAGAACGACGAGTAACGAGTCGGTTGTTCGGTTGTTGCTCTGCAGTCTGTTTCCCAGGGCCACACCGCCATAGCGAATTTGCCGGATTGGAAAGCCCGTGACTTTGATGCGTTGTGGCACAAACAAATGAAATCATGCAGGATCCAAACCGACGTGAACTGCTTCGAGACTCAGCTAGCTGTGATGGCAACAGAAATCTGAATGCATCCCTCGAAATGAGCAGCTGAGCTGCAAGAGACCAGGTCAGCGTTGGCTTGTTTTAAACATGTCAAGTTTGAAGAAGTAAGTAAGCACTCATTCGCGAAGGTCTCAAAATGTCTGGCATAAGCACCTGTGGAAACCAGATCTCATGATCTCAAGGCCCTTTTTGAAGCTCAAGGCAGCTTCCGGGAGGCAGCTTGTCTTAAGGCAGCTGCAGCTTCCAAGTCCTTCCGGGCCTCCACGAGTGGAGGTTGTGCGTTTCATACCACGCCAATATGCAAAAACAAGACAAGAAAAGCATACACTGTAACTCCAAAGCAACATCTTGATCGGAAGACCCAAGATTGGAGGCTGTTGCATCGCAACATCACACCAAAGCAACTCTTTGCAAACGGTACGGAAGGACTGCAGTGACAACCAATATTGGTAGGTGCACGTGCAAGGCTTTTGCTGCATTTGGTCGTTGGGATGCGCAACAAGATCGACAAAGTAAAGTGAAAGGTTTGGTGATCCCGCAGCAAACGGGAGCGCTCATTTTCGAGATTGGTGCTGTGGAGAATGAACATCTTTGTTGCAGATGGACTACATGGAAGGCGACAGGCTGACAAAAGACTGGCAAAAAATCTAAATCTAATGGGGACATGGGATGAGGTGCATCTTGGCAGCTCGTGCTCCTCTAAGGAAGGGCTGACACCAACAGGGCTGAGGCTTTGAATTTGTGATTTTGAATTTGCTCCGTATGGCCATTTTAGACACTCTTTTGCCGGACACCAAGGGCGACATGAAGTCTGATTGCCAAAATGGAATTGAACACACACGCACAGGGCATGTGGAATATGGCTTTCTCATGTTGTCAAGACCTTCACAAAAAGTGATTGGATAGGAGTTTGGTTTCTGGTATCTGGCATCGGTATTCTTGAAAAAGTGGCACCGTTTCTGTCGCTCTAGTCAACACAAAGGATCAAGACAAGCATAATGTGCACATCTTTCCAGTACGTGGTGGCATTGAACTTGAGACTGCGATGAAAGTGTCAGATCGGCGATGTGTGGCTTCAGCTCACGCTGAGTCAGAGGTTGATTTGCGCTAAGCTTTTGCTACCAAAAATAGCAGCTGATCACGCCTGCTTCAGCTGCCGGATTCTTTTCAAGGTGTCGGCCCCTGGCAGCATCTACCCACGGTGGCCATGCAAAAATGCACATTGTTATACACACATTGGGATACGTCGATGCTCATTGTGTTGAGTCTCCAACGCTTGGAGCGAAGTTCATCGGCCTCCCGATTCAGGTAAAAAAAGGAGTAGGTTCGACAAACCATCTCGGTAATCAACATTGATTGCGGCCTCGGCGGATGCCTTGCACCAGGAATGCCCACAAACATGCACACGCAAATACCCATCGTTGAGCAACATAAATCCCGGCATTGTTCACTTGCCTCCTGAAACTCCAGGCTTTCAAGGCCTCACAACATCTCACATCACTAACAGGCACAAAATGCATCATGAAAACAGCTACTAGGAGCAAGGGCATCGCTACTAGGGGTTCCTGGCATCGCTACTAGGAGCAAGGACGCTATTAGAATCCGTATCATTAAAACAACTTCCCTGCACTTTTCTTCCCACCTCGTTCGGCCCAAGCCTCCAGGCAGGTTTCAGGTGTCTTTGCAACCCGACTCTTTCCACAAGATCAAACAATGTGCCCTCGACAAAAAATATCCTCCCCGTGATCAAGTCAAAGCAAAATGGATAACAAATCCACAGGGCTGCTGTGCGAATGCCAAGCGCAACTTGCAAACTGCGGAGAAACAAAACAAACAAACACAAAACATCTCAAACGCCATATTTGTCAGCAGCTGCAAATGACAAGTCTAAAACACCAGCACCAGTTGAAAAACGTAAAATAAACCAAATTATCCGCCGACCCCACACTGTGGGGTGAGGCGTGACTGTTGATGTTAGCCTTAGGCCTTAGCCTTAGTCCTTAGCCTTAGACCTAGTCCTTAGCCTTAGACCTAGACCTTACCTCCCCTACCCCTCCGGACCCTTGTTGGAGTTACGAAATCGTGCCCTGAAAGCTACCTGAGCGACCCGGGAATTGTCCAAGATTCTGCCATCCCAATTGATTTACATCTTGGGGCACCCTCTCGACCCGCGCGGGAAAATAAGCACGGTCCAAAATGGTCCTGGGCTCGAATCCCGGGCTGGTCGCGGCATGGTCCCGGCCAATGCCCTTGCTTTTTCGTAGATTTTGTCACGTTTTCTGTTGGTTTATGAGATTTTCAAAGGCTTTTCTGGCATTTTCCTAGGAATGCTGTAGGCTTTGTCTAGATTTTGTGATGTTTTCGGCTAGCGTTTCTTCTGGTTTTTAGGTTCCCAGATTTCTCCCAAAAATTGGTAACCTTTTGCTAACCTATGGAACTTTCAAAGGCTTTTGTAGCATCCCAGATTTCCCCTCAAAATTAGTAACCTTTTGCTAGTTCCCGGCCAATGCCCTTCATTTTTCCTAGGAATACTCTTGGCCGCACTTAGATTTTGTGACGTTTTCGACTAGATGTTAGGAATGCTCTAGGCTTTGTTTATTCGGGAGGGTGCTTTTCCAAACATTTTCTTGCATGTCCTCTTGTCTCGACCCGCGCGGGAAAATAAGCACGGTCCAAAATGGTCCTGGGCTCGCATCGTCATCACCGCAGGGTTCATGCAAGAGATCACGTATGGTAAATCTGGGAGGTACCCAAA